GGGGGGGGGGGGGGGGGGGGGGGGGGGGGGGGGCGGTGGCTTTTTTGCCTAGGGCGGCAAAAAAGCCAGAGCCGGCCCTGTCCACCACGGATCTGCACAGATGAAAGACATGGAATCAGAGAAACGTAGAGCTGGAAGGGACCTCGAGAGGTCTTCTACTCTCAGGGCCGGCGCAACCCATTAGGCGACCTAGGCGGTCGCCGAGGGCGCTACAATTTGGGGGGCGGCGGCCACGGCGGTATTTCGGCGGCGGCATCTTCCGCCGCCTCTGTGGGGGCGGCATTTCGGGGCGGGACCTTCCGCCGCCTAGGGCGGCAGAAAAGCTGGCGGCGCTCCTATCTGCTCTATCTCCCTGCACTGAGGCAGGACCAAGGAAACCTAGACCCATCCCTGAGCCATCCTGCGTCCAACCTGTTCTTAAAACCCTCGAGTGACAGGGATTCCACAACCTCCTAGGTGACCCATTCCAGCACCAAGCATCGTAGCGTCCGCAGTGGGCCTCTCCTTCCAACAGGAATCTAGCACATGTGCCAAAGCCTGAAGCGTTGGGCCTGCTGGACCATCCCCAGAGGTTAAGCTGACATGATACAATCCTATCCATCGCATTTCACCTCAACTAATGTCCATAGGATCAGCTTGACAAACGCTTCTCCCGCCCAGCTCATGGGCTTGTAGGCAGCGGTGTTCCATGTCCTGGGCTAAATTTCTTTTTCATAGGACATCAGGGTGAATTTGCCTAATTGAGCTTAAATGCTTGCCAGTCAGGGGCGATGGAATCTTCGTAATACTGGGGAGCGAGGGGGGCACGAGGCCCTGCCCCCTCCATGGCCCTACCCCGCCCCTTTTCTTCCACCCGAGGCCCCCCCGCCGGCCAAGCCGGAAGCTGAAGTCGGGGAGCTGGGAGGGCGAGAGCAGTCCCCAGCCTGTATCCCCGCCCCCCACTCCCCAGCCTCCTGCCCAGGGCAGGCGAAGGGTCCGCAGCTCCCCACAGCTGCCTGGGCTCCCTGGGCCACTCATACGCGGGCCGGGCTTCAGCTTCTGGGGGCGGGGCCTTGGGGGGAAGAGGAGGGGCAGGGGGCCGGGCCCGTGGCAAAAATGGGAGGGGCCATGGCCCTTTGGCCCCCCGTTCCGACGCCCCTGTGGCCAGTCCATTCCCTTTCCCCGAGGATCCTGACCTGTAGCAGCCCAGCAGTGTTCAGAGCTTGAGTTTTTCCCAGCAGCAGAAAGGAAGACGAGGTGGAAGTAACACGAGTGAGCTTAAGAAAGGTCTCAGCTCATAGATTCATAGACTTTAAGGTCAGAAGGGACCATTATGATCATCTAGTCTGACCTCCTGCACAACGCAGGCCACAGAATCTCACCCACCCACTCCTGTAACAAACCCCTAACCTATGTCTGAGCTATTGAAGTCCTCAAATCGTGGTTTAAAGACCTCAAGGTGCAGAGAATCCTCCAGCAAGTGACCCGTGCCCCACGCTGCAGAGGAAGGCGAAAAAGCTGGTGAAGCATGCGAGGATTCTACGGCCTGAGGATCTGCATTCACCCGCTCATCGCACAGCATGCAAAGCGGGGAGCTGCCGTTCCATCCTATCCAGGGATGGGGACGGGGTAGTGGGAGGATCAGTGAATCAGAGACAAAGCAGCTAACGGGAGATTTTCAAAGGAGCTGATGGGGCACCTGTGAGTTTAAGAGGCTGGTCCGGTGGGCAGGACATTGGCTTAGGACTTGGGAGGTCTGGGTCAAAGCCCTCCCCTGCCACAGACCACCTGTAAGACCTTGGGCAAGTCACTTAGCCTCGCTGTGCCTCAGTTTCCCATCTGTACAATGGGGATAATAACACAGCCCTGCCTCACATGGGAACTGTGAGTGCAAGTACATTAAAGCTTGTGAGATGCTGTGTAAGTGCCTTGGATAGACTAGGCTGCTTTGAAAATCCCATCTTAAACAGTATGGGGCAGAGGACACACAGTTGAGCAATTCTGATCCCATCCGGCAGAGGAACACCAGCGTGTCCACCATGCCTGCTCTACAGTCTATTAGACTGTTACCCCAGCCACCTGTGGCTTCCTCGCCGGTCCCTAGACATATTTATTCTTGCTCCATAATTAGAATCCCCATTGATCCATTCTGAGACGCCACGTGCAACTGTCTCGAGATCTTGCAGAGAGACCAAAGAGAGCTAGACACACACACACAGAAAGGGAGGGATTTCTAGGGCAGGACACCAAAGTCCACAGCATGGAGGGACGAAGCTATTAAAAAAAATCCCATTGAGTAATACTTAAATACAGGGACACAGATAAATATAGCACCAGGGAACAGCTGAGCTGAGATTCCAGCCTTCCAACCCCTCCCCCTCCCATGCTTCAAAATACCAAAGGAGTTAAAAATATGGAGGACTCCTGCCCCTTTAAATCCCACAACCTGCCCCCATTCATGCTGTGCTATTTCAGCTTCCTCAGGCAGGCCCTGGGCCACATGGCACCTGCCTCAATCAACATCCCATCCAAAATCCAAGAACAAACATTGACAGCCGGGCTGCCAGCCCCTGCCCCCGAAGTCCGGAGGGCTCAGGAAACCGAGCCTGTAAACTTTGCACCCGGGAGGCTGGGTTCCTCCTGCGTGTGCCCGCTGCCAAGCCTGACCCAGCCCAGCCTGCAGCATCCTGGCTACCCGGAGTAGCCCCTTCCCTTTGGGCCCTGCCGCCAGAGTGCCTTGGTGCAGAATGGAGCTGTGATTAGAATCCGGGGAGCAGTCTGCACCCGGCTCCCCACCCCAGTGCGCATTTTCATGTGAGCAAAACCAAAGATTGTCTTCCTGCCATTCAGCCAGGCTCCTGTGCCAGTGCATCCGGGAGGCCGGCCCGAGGTGTTGCGTACATGCCCCAGAAGGGCTGTCCCCTGCTGGAGACAGCTCGGAAGCCTTCTGACCTGGGATGAGGTGGGTGAACAAGCACCATTAGAACTGCAGAGGGCAGGAGAGGTGCAGGACCTGGAGAGGCACCAACAGGCAGGAGATCAGGACGGGGATGCGTCATGGCATCTTTCAGGGGTCCGCCTGGGCTAGTTGCCTGTGTACGTTTGGCCTTGGGTGAATCCCTTTCCCTCTGTGTAGGGCCGGTCGGGAATTTTTCGGCGAACTGTTTTCCCATGGAAAAATAGCGAGTCATCAAAACCAAAACCGTGCATGGGGAAGGGTCGGTGTTGAGGAGTTTCCCAACTTGAAAATGTGAGGGGGCGGGGGGCAGAGAAGTTCTGCCATTGTCAAAATATCTCATTTAAAAATCTAAATGGAAAAGCCCCGTTTCCCCGTCTGAAATGACTTTTCGTTTAGAAGTTTGAGCTAATGATAGAAACAAATCGTTAAAAAATAATGGTTGAAATATAAATGAATTGTTTCAAAATGACCAAATGAAACATTTCGCCTGATCCGAACGGAAAAAAAAAAATTCCATTTGGTGGCTCCTGAACATTTTTGAGATTTTGACATTTTGTCCTGATTAGGGCTGGGAAAAGCTTTTAAAATCTCAAATATTTTCCCAGGATGGGGAAACCATCTCCTGCCCAGCTCTACCTCTTTGTCTATTCAGACAAGCAGGGAGTGTCTCTTGTTACGTGTTTGTACAGCACCTAGCACAACGGGGTCCTGATCTCAATTGCGGTATCTAGGCGCTACTGCAACATAAATAGTAAAGCATGCATGGGCTTTTATACACATTGCTTTTGAAGCTGGGAGTGATCCACAGTCTGGCCATACATAATGTATGACACAGAATCTTCCCTTTCAATAGAGCATTTCCATCAGATTCAGGATGATGGAGGATGGTAGGGGAGAATAAACATAAATAAATAAATAG